CCCCAAAACCCCAAAACCCCAAAACCCCGTCTTAGTCATATTAAAACGATTATTATGACTGCTATAATTTAAATTTAAAAGAGAAAGTTCAAATTACTAATTAAATTTGGAAAATCTAAAATCTTATGCAGAGAAACCATCATCATCCATTTCAAATTAGGCAACCTCTACCTTCAATAAATCAAATGCCATCTCCTATCAGAGCTTTAAGCAAACCCCCCTAAATTAATACTTGTAATGATTTTAAAAGTTAATGTAATTTAGAGAAACACCAGTCAATGAAATAAAAATCTCTGAAAAGGCCAAGTTCCTCTCATGCGATGATAAAGAATATGAATGACAGCTATTAAAATAAGAATTCTTAGCATAAATCTTAGAGTAAACTAGCAACTAATCATTAGCTCACAAACTCCTTGGATAATTTATCAAGTAGAAATATGGATATTGGGAGTTAAGGCAGAAAGAGTGTGAAAAATTTGCATTAAATTCCCCCAGTATTTCGACTTCAGACTCTGCAATAACATCATTAGGCATAATTGAAAAACTTGAATATCGTCTAAATTTAATTACTTCCTCCCAAAGCTATTAAAAAGTAATTGGCTACTGAAAGGCAGAGTAAGGACAGATCACTAGATAAATCCTCTAAATTCAGCAAGGTATTTTTATTAGACTCCTTCGATCTCTTTCAAATATTAACATCTTTATAGAAACTTTAACTTTTGACTTAACATCAATAGGAATTCAGAGTTACATCAGAAACTCTTGAAAACAAATTAGTAATCATTGACCACAAAAATATTAGTGACATCCTACTTTCAATATAAACCCTTAAGAAGATTAATTCTAGTCAGCTGAAAAAGATGCTAGAATTGATATAAAATTGCTCAACTAACGAATAAGCATTCCAATTTTTCAATTATTTACAGTCATCTAAATGGAGTCAAATCAAGTATTGGATGCTCAATCTATAAAGCAAAACTAGCAGAAGAATCATAATAGAAATAATAAGTGAAGTTATTTAGAGAGCATCTGATGAATCTAAAGGAATAAGTTTAGATAAAGACTAAGATTAAAAGATATTATAATAAGAAAAGGTTTAGTCATAGCTAAAAACAGCTCGGGTACCTAGAATTCCTCTTGGAAACATAACTAATACTTTTAATCCTCAGCCATTGCTCTAGTAAAGTAATTCAATGAGATAGAGATAAGATTCTGGGGATAAAGAAAATTAATGCAATATCCCCACTATCTCAAACAAATAATAATCGATTAGCACCAGTTAAAGCTATTCTACATTACCGAAGTAGAATATTCAAAAATCATATTTTACTAAGGAACACCTTTTTAGTATCATATTTTCGAAAGACCTGGTTGAATTACTGAAACATTATTCTATGACTATAGATTTGAACTCTCCAAAAAAAGAATTATTGAGATAAGATTGTATTTTGGTATCTAAAATTATGTTTCAGATCGCAGATTCTATTCTTATGTACTATAAGAAACAAAACTTATATGATTAATACTCCTTCACATACATAAAAAATGGAATATTCCCAACCCTCATTACCCTCTTAAAGATAGCTGAGTTCAATTTTGAAACAATGTCAGTGGATGAGTAAAAATATATATCAAGATGCTTAGAATTCTGTTCTACACACTCAGAAGGTCTTAATCTAATATATACAAATAGAGAAATGGTCTTCTATATCTTAAAAAGTTTCATGAAAGAGAATGTTAATGAAACGTAAGTACTTTATGCTACAGCCACTGTACTCCTTGACCTTACAGCTAATGAGGATTGCTTGGAAAAGGTAGCTCAGCTTATGAGAGACCACAATCTTTTGGAATTTGTTTACAATAAACTGAATAATTTCATTCGATTAAATCCCTAGGATAGTTAATACTAAAAACTAAGAGATTTGTTTATTGGCATCTTATTGAATTTAGCTTGCAATGTAGAAAATCAGCAAATTATTAGCGAAATGATTTTGGGCACTCAAAATTATAAACAAGGAGTGCTACCTTTACTGACTATGATACTATTGGATTCAAGACATGACTGGCCAACAAATGGTGCTGCTCTAGCTTTACTCCAATATTGTCATCAAGGACTCTAACAAGCAGATATCTATGAAGCAATATAGTAGGCAAAGATTAAAGAAATAGCATAAATGTTTATAGAGAAATGCAACAGCAAGGATGCTAAGAAACATCTATATGAAATCCTTACAATTCTGGAAATATGTGGCAAAAAGATGGATTCAATTACTTTGATTTTAAAGACCTAAGTGTATGCTAGCTGTGCATGAAATATTTAATTAATTTTAGTCTTGGTTTTAATTTCTTATGAGTATTCATTATCTATTAACCCATAATCAAGACTAGAGGGGTTTTGGGGTTTTGGGGTTTTGGGGTTTTGGGGTTTTGGGG